CTACTCAAGGGGACCATTAAGGGTTTAGTTCAGTATAGTCCGAAATGTATTCCCCAATTATACTGACAGCAGCTCATATATGAGCTATAGTCTAAACTCCTGGTACCCCCCTCAATAAGTAATGTAAAAAAGCGACCTTTCGGGAGTTTAGACCCTAAACCCTCAACCCTTAATCCCTAAATCCTAAACCCCAATTCCAGTTCCTATGGGGGGTTCCAATTAAGTGAGCATGTCCTGAGGGCTGCCAGAATACGCGGTGCTTTGACTTCGGGTGGAAATTCTTGGCGAATTTTGATAAATATTTGCCCTCGCAAAGACACCCCCCCGGCATAAGGACACCCGACACCCCAAAAACGGACTAACACATCTGAGAGCTCCCCAGACGCGGACTTTGGATAGATTGTGCTAATCTTGGGCTTTGCTGCGCCTGAAGCTGCCAGAGATTTTCTGCTCCTTGACTTTGTACGCCACTCGCATACTCCTCAAGAACAGAAGTCGGAGTCTCAGGGGAAGCTTTTAGGCTCTCAGAATCAAATTCTAGGGCACCACGCACCGTTTTTACATGTTTGACATAGTTCCCACTACTTTGGGAACAATAATCTCGCCGAACTCCTGTCTAAGAAGCCTGCACCTTGGTTTTGGAGCTTCCGCATGTGGGTTTTCAACAACATAGGGGTACCTTTTAAAGGGGTCCCTAGAACAAGGAGGATAGTATGTTGAGGTCTGTATCGGCGTCCCCCTAACCCTAAACCCTAAACCTTATTCAGGGAAATTACCATATTGCTATGAAGAACCATGCAGTGGTTCTGTAGACGAGCAGAAGTTCTATACCACTGGCTTGGTCGGGCGCCCAAAGCGAAGCACGTCTCCACAACATTATAATCCATTTTTATGGGGACCTCGAAACAGGTACCCCTAGTTCTGGGAAACACCCATGTGAAGGTACCCTGGTCATGAAACCTTGTCGTTTGTTGCTGGCACAGTTGATGAGGCCATGGTAACACGCTTGCTCGGAAAGGTCCCTGGGAGTCGTAGGCACATAGGGCAGAGCGAAGGTCTGCATCATCTGCAGCGTCAGCAGTGAAATACGTAAGTATTTGGCCACTTAACCCTGGCCGCAAACCTTTCAAGAGTTCCACCCCTAAATTCCAGCCTAACTGCTAGAGTCCAAGCACCCCACGTGTAGAGGTATGTAAGCAGAACGATGCAAGTTTCTTTGTTTATGGTTGATTATGCGTGAGCCCAAATCTGAGAGCAGCAACTTCGATGAGCTTCCACAGCATGCCTAGCAGTTAGCAGTGATTGTATAACTGTATAATACCCCAAGAATGGAGAATCACATGGAAAAGAAAATTGAGAATGAAATGGACATTGGGATCATTATGGGTTATATTGGGGTTCTATTAAATATATTACGACCCTAGACCCTAAGCCGTACAGGTGTTGGAATCCAGCATGATGTCGTTCGTGCGGCGCATCCAGACGGCGAACGAATGGATCGTAGCTTCTTGAGAGTCCAAAATGACAGATTTCAGGATTTCGTGTTGCTGAAAATAGTGCAGCCTCTGCCGTAGACCCCGCACCCCAACCCTTTTACAATTTTTTGGCCAGGAAGACCTTCAAGTAAATCCGACGGCTTGAATTTCCGGCGGGCATCATGCACAGAACGTTGCAGTGGCAAGGGGTTGTTTCGGACACGGTAAAACTATATATTGTTAGGTGCAGAGACAAAAGCCACTTTCCGTCAAATCCTAAACCTTAAAACCCTAAACCCCAAAACCGCCTGAAAGTCAACATCCATCTCAATTTGCCAACGGCTTGTCAATCTTAATTCAGTAACTCAGTAACTACAGGGAAGGGTTAGGATTTACGTTCAGGGCTTAGGCAATAGAACTCTCTGAAGCGTAACGCTACCCCAACCCGCAAGCAAGGATTCTGAGGAGGAGAATACGATTACCGATGAGCAGCATATTGCAACACTGGCAGATGCGGCGGCGGTGCTGGACTCCGAAGGACGCTTGGGTTTACGGGCTTAGATTCATATAAGATTTTTGAAGTCTTGATCCCTTGTTCCTAATAGCAAACATTCCCACACAGAATATTCAGCATTACCTGCAAATGACCTGGTGTATTGGGTGACATATTTTGTCACGGGGGGAGGCGGCGTGTTGAGTATTAGCTGAAAGGGATGGGCTTTAATTCCAGCCCAGATGATTAATCGCATTTGGAAAACCAATGACAAGTATGATGCACAAACTCAAGCCCTAAACCCTAAACTTGAAACCCTAAGTGGCCTCATGCCCTTCGTGAAGAAAGGGGTTTGGGGCTTGCGTACCCTGAATCCTAAACCCTCGTCAGAGTCTGTGTATGGGCTTTGGTGTTGTGCGGCTTAGGGGTTCAGGATTTAGCGGCCCCAAACATCCCGCAAATTGATGCCAACAGGCATCAAGAGTGTAAGTGTCTACGGAACCACGTGGAGTCCTGTGCATGGCGAATGTAGGATCCTGAAGAAATAGAAATTGTATCACCTTCTTGTTGATGGTTGCAATAGATTTAGTAAAACCCCCAATATAACTCAATGATAATACCAGTTTCCATGTCATTTTCCATTTGCTTTTCCATTTGATTCTCCATTATTGAGGTAGTATACCCGAAGCCCCTAAGTTCATCATGTAGGCCCCCTGTCCCAAACTCGCATGGACCCCGGCATAGGGCCAGATTGAATTGAACGTGGTATTTGCTGTACTTGGAGGTTCATGGGAAATAGTAGCTACATATAACTGGGCTTATAACCCCACTTATAACCCCCCTAAATGGCCTTATAGGGGTTACCCCAATTTTAGCCCAGTTATAAACCCTAAACCCTAATCCCTGAACCCTATACACCCCCATGTAATTAACCCTTATATAACCCCTATAAACATCCCGGAAAGGGGGGTTACGTACTGAGCCCCATGAACCTCCAAGTAGGGCACCTGTTGGAGCTCTTTGTGTTCTTTGAGTGGGACTTATATGGTTCCAATGCCGCTGGGATGCTAACTGATTACTGCTATTTCGGGTTTAGGGTTTAAGGATCAGGGTTTAGGGTTGTATTGGGGTTATATTGGGAGAGAGGAAAAGAAAATGGAAACTATAGAATTATAGGGTTTATGTAGGGGTTGGTTTGTAGACGACGTTATGATCCTACATTCCTTGTATCATTATAGTATGGGGAACCTCAAACAGACCTCAACCTGGCTTTGGCGATTACATCCTATCCCTGTAGACCCCAGTACGCCCCTGTACAAACCCGGGCTTCAATTTGGCCATTTTACTCTCCATTATTCTAATGGTTAAGGCCCTTGTAATTTTAAGTCCTGTATAATGCCTGTAACCCCTTAGAGTGCCCAATCTCCATTTATTAGCCCCCTGTTGAGGTAAGCACAGAGCCCAAGTCCTGGGAACTTCATGAGATTAGGTAAGCCCTATGGGGACAACATATATGAGGTATAGTCTAAACTCCATAAAGATGGTTTTATATACAGGGTTATATAGGCGAGTATTATAGGCGGCATTAAGGGCGATACTAGGAGTTTAGACTCTAGCTCATATGGGGTCCAATGGTAATTAAGTTTATGTGGGACCGTAGGGAGCCTTAGGGGAGGCCTCAGGGAGTCCTTTTCGGGATAATGGAAAAGAAAATGGAAACTCCCAATAATGGAGAATCAAATGCAAAATTACATGGAACATTGAATGGAAACTGGGATTTTAGATTTTAGATAGGCTCCCAGTGGGGATGGGCCACCTTTTACGATTTTTTCATTTTTTCAGGCATTCCTGAAGATAATTAATTTTGGCATTCCTCCATTCTGCGCATCCCAGCCTCTTAAACTTACACCTGCACAGGTGACCGCTGCCTGAACTCCACAACTATGTGCTGATGATTTAAAGGTTTATAGGGCTTCAAAACCAAAAGTATGAATGATAATGATATTTTTTGACTTTCTGAGGGTTTTTGCGACACTATCTTGCTGTTCCTGAGGTCCAAGTAGAACCTGGACCTTAGCCCCCAACAGGACTCGAGTGGTGGCCTTGCCGGGGTACACTGATTGCCTTGCTTCGCCATGGTCGCCGGAGTGGCCTACTGTCAAATGGTAAGCTGGATGTGGTGGATCACGACGTTGATGTCCTGGAATCTCGTTTCCTTTGGTTCAAGGGTTAAGTGTTGAGGAGGGTGGGGTTACCGTGAGCGCGGTATGGAAGGATACTTTGCTATAGCCTATAGCATTCCTGCTTGAGACGCTGTTTTAGTCGCATCGCCGCTGGCAGAGTTGCCTGAGCAATTGGAAGGAGAAGAAGAGGAAGAAGAAGCAGAGGAAGAAGAGGAGAGCGAGCGAGAGAGAGAGAGAGAGAGATGCGTACATATATATATATATATACATTCATAGGAGGTCATAGGAGTATTGTGAGTGAGTGTGTGTGTGTGTGTGTGTTGAGAGCGATTTCGAGATCACAATTCACCAAGACTAACCAGCCCAAAAGATTTTCTTCGACTGTTAGCCTTTAATCCGCTTCACTGAGAAGTGCTCGAACTTTCGATTTATTTGCAGGAATTTGCAGAAAACAACCAGTATGACTAACGTTGTCCAGAGGGTTGTTTGTTACAACTTTGATGATGATGTCAGCAGGAGGAGGCGCGGTGGTGGCGTCGGTAGTATTGGCAGCGTAGTGGCAGCGGCAGCTAGGGTGAGCTTGGGGTGGCAGGCGGATTTGGTGGGGCAATGGTGGGTGATGGAGTTGGTGAAGGTGGTGAATGTGGTGGGCGGATATGCTGGGCTGGGTGAGTGTGGGTTGAGAGTGGGACGGCAGGGTCTGCAGCAAAGACATACTATCCGAAACAACAAACGTGAAGCCAGCAGCAGCAGCAGCAGCAGCAGCAGCAGCAGCACCTCTGACAACATAACCCTACAGCTTGTTATCGCCAAAGTCTTGAGTTCACGTTTCATTTGAGCAGCATTGAGGTTGGCGTGTCATCCCATGACGAGTGGTCGCGGATACGCGTATCCATCCTTGACAAGCTGCAGAAGAGAGGCTGGCAAGATCCACAACTACAAGTCTTCAGCCTGCTGAGGGCTATTATAGTATTTAGGGGTTTAAGGATTTAGGGCTTAGGGGATAGGATTTAGGATTTAGGGTTAAGGGTTTCTGTAGTAGTATAGGTATTATTACAGCGCTGTGGGGCCCCCATTTTTGCGTAGGTGTGAATATGAGGAATGGTGACGCGCCCATGCATAGCCTAGGATTCATGTAATTAGAGACCCGCAACAGGCACAAAACCTGGGGCCCCGGGGGCGTCTATAGTATCTTTGCAGTACAAATAGAATACTGCTCAAAGGTTATTCTAGTATCATAGTTTTCCGTTGTATCTTTATAGTATTGTTTTAGTGTTACTAATTAGATGTGGGCTTCTGTTCGTGTCACTCCTTGGGTTAATCATAAAATGGCCGTGTGTTCAGCAAGCCGATGGTCAATCGAGCCTCGGCACTGGCTCATCCCGCTTTAGCATTGCTTGAATGGAACATGCTCCCCCTTGCAATGGAGTCCTTCATAGTGCGGCATATGGTAGTGTCCCCCGAATAGGGGGACCCCGGTATAGACCCCCAAACACTATGGCCCTTATTTACAGGGACCCCCAAAATGCTACTCTTAATGTTTGGAAACCCTAAACCCTAAGCCTTCTATAAGTCGTATTTTCCGTTTTCTTTACCTTTATTGTTATAAAACCACATAGACTCCCCCCATATAACCCTAAACCCTAGTTTCATTGATTTCGGGTTATGGGTGGGTCCCCACAGTCCCAAGCTTTGCACCGCAAGACCAAGAACCCCAAAGGACCAAAAGGGCTCACAGGTCCAAGGTGCAAAAATGATGCATGTAAGGATTGTATAGGCGTTATATAGGGTTAATGTAAAAGAAACTGCAAGCTATTATTTAGCCAGACATGTCATAAGTGGGTTTTAGGGTAAAGGGCTTACAGCTTACCCTAGGGATCCAAATAGCCCACTGTCAGTAATACTTAGAGATTTGTGCTGTTTCTGTTGTGCCGGGATACCTCGTTGTGAACACGTGGCATCTCAAGCGAGTTCTGGCGGCCTAGTGGATGTGAGGGCAGACCCCTACGCCTTCAACGCGAAATTCACAACAGCTGTTGCAGCCATGTTCGGGTGTTCAGAAGTGGTGGCTGGTCCTCGCAAAGACTGATGATTGATGAGCGATTGTCAGCACTGCTTCCCCCACGCATACTTCTGCCCATCGGAAAAACTTGGTAGCTCCTAAACCGAAGCCTCAGAACCTAGGTTTACCTTGATCAACAGCTACGGCTTCAATCCCCAGTCCTAGAAATCACACCGCCAGCCTTGATCCCACCCGAGCCCAAACTCAAATAAAGCATCCCAAGGAAACCCATCAAAAACTCTCGCAACATCTTTGTACATCTTTTTGCAATCCCGGAACACGCCAAGGCTGAGCCAGGGGTCCTTTGGTGTTCCAAGGCATTACAATGAAGAGCCTACGACTGTATATAGGGGATTATATATGGGTTTATATTGGGGTTATATAGGGATAATGGAAATAAAATGGAAATACTATATATTGGGGTAATATAGGGGATTATATAGTACCAAAAGGCCACTTTGAAAAGGAGGGGAGTACCTGCGTTTCTCAGGCAAAGACAAAGACAGAACGTCCAAAGACTCTGCGTTTGTTGACGTCGTGTGGCACTCATCTAGACCACAAAAAAATGAAGAATGAATGATAAAGACGCGCGTTGAAAAGCTCTAGACCCAAATTGGAAACCCTAAGACCAAGGCACTCCACCATGACCTGGGTACCCGCTGTTCCGGATTTTAGGACCCTCAACACAGAGGAAAGGATTGAAATTCTACCAAGCAAGTTGCGATGACCTCGCCTGGAAGGGTGTTTGGTATAGAATGTAGCACCCAAAATTGCGTCATCTGCGGCTTTGGACTTGTAAAAACTTGGCCAAGCCAAGTTCTGGAGGTTGGGGAACCTGCTTCGAGCGGTACTCCGTCAGCGCACCCATTGGTAGCGCCGAATCTTGCCTGCCATGAGTCATGGCTTCAGATCCCGTAGTACTGGCCTTGAGGAGAGGCTTCACAAATCCAGAAAAGGATTTCGACTGCTTGATGCCACAGACGTATAAGTCAGTGAACTAAGCCTCTCTTGGACTTTGTGTAGTATGGTTGGCTTCATTCAACCTTACTTGAATGGAGGGGATGCCGTGTGTTTTCATACGTCTATTGATTCCTCGGATTCTTTGAGATCTTTTCTGAGCATATTGAGTCTTCAGCGCTTTGGCCATGGTTGAAACTTGTTGTTTTTGTTGTTGTGGGTATTTTGCCTTGATTTGCGATTCCATGCGGATGCGGTATGATTTGCAAATTAGCGAAAGCCTCTTAAGACTCCATGAGACTTCAGTAACCAACCTAGTTTGTAAAGCACCTACTTCTCCATGCAGATGTCCGAAGGGCGGCCCTGACTAGTGCATTCAACCGGCGACGTAGGGACTCGAAGAGTGGAAAAGGAACCCCGCAAGTGATGTAAAGCATCTATACAACTAAACAGCCTCTCAAGCAACCCGAAACCCAAAACCTTAGATGAAGCTCTTCCTAGACTCAAGTCAGGCCTACCAGCGCGCGCGTGGGGATCTGTTTCTGTGCGCCCGGAAAGATCCAAAAGTTACGCTGGACATCGCAACATACATTACAGAGGGCTCAATAGCCGCTCTGATGTTGTTCATTGCCCAGGGATCGAAGTATACAAATACTACTTACATTGGGCCCTCAAGTCTGTAAGTGTTACCTACATTGGGTTATATACTTGGATCCCTAATTAGGCAGGGCTCAATAGCTGGGAAGCCCAGTGGTATTCCTTTACCCGTTTTGAGTTTCTGGGCTCCTTTGTACATTCAATAATGGGGAACACTTATGGTAATATGGCTACTGGGCGACAGGGATGGTTTCTCTGATGTTGCTCATTGTGTTTGCGTCTGCTCAGCGTTTAGGTGTGAAAGTGGGTTTCCCATTCTTTGGGTATGTGTTGAAGATGATTCTGAAGGTTTAGTAGACCAAAACCCAATCTGGAATCAAGATTATACCTTTTCACGGTATACCAATAAAGAACCAGTTCTTGTGTTACTAAAAACGGGCGGTTGGTTGTGTTTGTCTGGTTTTGCTGGCGTTTTTTTTCCGCTTATCTGGGTTGCTGTTAGGGAATTTGAATAAGCCATAGTGTGGATACTCACATGTCTCATGTATAGTATCCCTTTACAGGGCCTCTAGTGCCTGTCTAGGGTTCGGACGTCATACTTAATGACTTGATGATGGAAAATCACATGGAAACGCAAAAGCCACACCAGCGGCTTATATGTAGTACTGTAATAACTATATACATATTCATGTGCATAGGGTTTAGGGTGTGGATTGAACTTGCTGGTTGTGAGTAAGGGTCACGGAATGGACAAGGAATCGGAAGCTATCATTTTTTGAAAATTTCGTCGGGGCCACAACAGGGGTCTATTCCTCCTTTCCCTACAAGCCGTCAGCAATGCGGTGATTATTTCGTTGCCTTCTGTAGAAGGTGGCACCACGACTCAGTGAGGGCTTATCCTTGGGAGGGCCCCTGTCTGGGTTACAGAAACACAGCAGGGCCCAATAACCCTCAACTAAGCGAGATACCTTGAATCAAACAACATACTCTCTGACATATTAGGGATGCTAAGATGATTAAGGTATATTCCTCAACTGACCCCTAAGCCTATGGTGTACGGGCTCCGGGGGAACGGAGGTTGGTGTTCCGGGAATGACGAATGTCTTGCATCTCACTCCACGAGGATATCTCCGTGTCATGAGCGTTTCCCAGGGCTGCGGATCCAGGGGAAATATTGAAAAGTTGTTCAATTCATGTGTGTGTTCTACTTCCACAACCTAAGGATTTTCCTCTGTTTAGGGCTTCAAGTGCACCCTATCCAAGGTTTGGCCGAAACGCTTAAGTGTCTCCAGACTCAGGAGGATTCGAATTACAATGCATAATCCATCCGAAATCCGTGTAAGCCAGTGGCCACAAGTCTCAATTTACCCTAAACTGGATCCTTTTGCACTTGCGGTGGGTGAGCTAAGGCCTACGCGCAGAAGTATTGTCTACCCGGCTCCACGGCTCCGTTCAGGGTATGTGATTTAGCTGTCATTTGTTTGGTGCCTTTGAGGTGTTATTCGTTTAGGTTGTCATACAGCGCTTTGAGGAATGGAGTATCTTCACGCAAGGCCCGTTTGCAGCTCACACATTCGCACGTCTTTTTTCAGTCTTCCTTGTAGAGGTAGTCGAGTAGTAGGCGGTTCTCATGTTTGTCTTTGCACCTCGTTATCATACCCTCGTTTTGTTCAGGGTCCGGGATGGTGACCCCTGGAAGCCCACGTGGCTAGGGTCTGACATGCTCATTTTAGCATATCCGACCCTGAACCATCAGCATCCCGGACCCTCACAATATCATTATTATAAATAATGACAATCTTCTATGATGGAATCCTGCATCTCCTCGACAATTATCTTCTTCCACCGGCCCGAAAGGTGATTAGAGATCTTTGGCGGGGTGCCGCTTAATCTTCTCCCTATTGGATAATAATATGGACAATCTTCCAACATAGAGTCATGATAATCCTACATCTGCTGAAAATTATCTTCTTCCATGCTTTCAAAAAGTGATTACAAATCCTTCGCGGGGCTCTGAATCTTATTCCCCCCCAAAAAATTCATGGCAGATGTTCAGCGTTGTTGCTGCCTGTGCTTGGAAAGCCTCTGGCCACCATTGGCATTGGGCTCAGACTCAGGGGACAGAGTCTTGGACACGTATTGATAAAAAGCATCGCGCGGAAGCATGCTCGGTCTGCACAAATTGCAACCGTGGTCAGGTGCCCTTGTAGGAGTCGGTGCATGCATTCTTAGGTCATCCAGGCTAGCCAAGGACTCGAATTTCGGCAGACTCACTTTCGCATCTAGGGGTGTTGAACAAATAGTTTTTACACACACAAAGATGGCGGATCAAAAGCCTCCAGATCCCGGCACTTGTGCTCCTTGCCCGCATTTATTTTTCTTTGAGGTAGTCGCATGTTTTATGTTGGGTTTGGTGTGTCTTGGGCTCTTGTGAGCTGTCGGGCTGGGGAAGGCGAAGTGCGGCGATGCGGCTGGCGAGCTGATCTTCGACAGTCGGTTACAGCTGTGGCGAGTGCCCTGCACGCGGACCAGGACGCACCCCATCACTGGAGTTCGCCGTAGGTCTGAACACGTGGGCGTCTCGTCGCTTGATTGCAAAAAAGAAGACCTGTCATTCAAGGGTGACCTCGATTCGATGATCCCCTGCAAGGTCTGGTTTGCTGATCAGGCGGACCGCTCCAAATTCCTGACAGGGTTGGCTCAGTTCTAGCCTGACTGTAGCGAACTGACAACGCCCCCCCTTCTCATGATGAGAATGGGGGAACTACATGATGTTGAACAGTAGCGAAGTAGGACCTACTCTAAATGCCTGTGGCCCCTTTGCGAGCACGCCCGCACATGGCCCCTTGATAGCTAGGTGGGCCTGCAGTTGCAGCTTGCCGAGAAGATCACCGGATGCGACGGCGTGCAAAGGCGCTTCGCGAGCTGAACGAGTCTGTGGCAGCGGCAGTCCCCAAGAAGAAGGCCAAAGCTCCCAAGATGGACTTGACAGCTGAGATGATCACACGCTCAAAGAAGAGCAACCGGCTGGTGAGTGCTGCTTTCGGAGATATCCTCGACCTAGATCGCCGCAAGTTCCCTGAGAAGCCCCTGGAGCACACCGGCACGGGAGTGATCCAGGCCTTGGTCCAGTAAAATGCCACAACCACGCAACCCCACTCCCCAAACAAATCCACAGCCCAAAACCTTCAATCGAAAAGCCAGACCCAAGGTGAAGCAGCCGCACATCAGTTTCACTCGCCAGCTCGCGCTGGCGCGAGTTCCACACATGCTTTCTGTGAGTTTCCGTGAGATTCGGAACCCACTGCAATCTGGTGTGAAAGTAGTCGAGTGGTTGCGTGCGCTGCGCCGGGAATTGGAGGAGGAGCCGCCCGTGCGGCGCGCACTCGTAGACGCGCGCGCACAATTAAGGGACTTCAACCCCGTTCAACACATCAAGTTGGTGGACGACGGTGAAGACTCGGAGGGTTCGCAGCAAGCCTAAAGCACTGCTGCCAGCGAAGGGGGAATTCGCACAGAGGGAATCCGTGCGCCAGAAAAAAATTGTCCATCAGCTTTGTTTTGTGAAGCATCCTTCTGCAGCAACTGGGCAAGAGAGTCTCAAGTAATTGTAAATCCAAGATGTCCGAAATCTTAGCAAAAGTAGCCAGGGTCGGAAATGGCAAGCCCCAAATCACGAAAGGCTGGGCAGCGAGCATTTCCGACCCTACGAACAGGGTCTGTCATGCTGTTGCCAGGGGTACCCTAAGAACATCGTAGGTATTCGTTATCATGATGCAAATTGAACGCCATAGTGCAGTCCTTTCTCCAGTATGTACTTCGTCAACACGTCCACGGCAACGAGCTTAATGCAGCACAGGCCCTAAACCCCTAAACCCTAAACCCAAGCTGCCTGTGGCTCTATCTTGGGGCTGGGCCTTAGCGGGCCTCGGTTATATTGAGGTAATGGAAAAAGAATGGGAACTACCATATTATATGGTGTTGCATAGGGGTAATATTAGATTATATAGGGTTATCTAGGGGTAATGGAAAATGGAGACTACAATGTTATATAGGGTTTTATAGGGGTAATATAGGGTTCCCATTGGGTAATTAGGATCATGAGTTTGGGGCCTGCAGAATTTGGAGTTAAACTTTGCTACACCCATACCTTTTGCCAGCGGACACGAATTTCCTCAAAGTCTATCGTCCCCTTTAAGTAAATAGAATATGGGGTTTATAGGGATCTTGTTATAATATACCCAAAGCCATATTCTATCTACTTAAGGGGAACTATATCCATGTACGCAATGAGCGCGTGCTTCAGGATTGTTGTCAGACTCATTGTGGTCCGCAATCGTACGGCGTAGGTTGTGTTTCAAAGGAGTGTATGATTGTTGGGTGGTTGGCCGTTTTTGTCGGGGTGGGAAGAGACAGGTTTCTGGCGCAGGAGAACACCGCTTAGTTGCAAAAATTCAAATCTCACAGCAACTCCCCTATCCCTCACCTGTAGGAACTTCAGCCCCAAGCTTCGCGTCCGAGGCTACTATCCCTTGAGAGGGACTGGAACTGGTTGCTGGTTTCCCAGAGACGGCACTCTGTCCCGCTTCAGTCATATGAGCCATAGTCTAACGTCCTTAAAGGGAGCTATATAGGGATTATATAGGGGACTAATATAGGGGTTACTAAGGGGGATACTAGGAGTTTAGACTATAGCTCATTTGGTCACACAGGGCATTTAGAACTGAACAAATACCGCGAGCTGTAAAATCACAGCCCTTTTTCGGAGCTGCAGCCTGACCTGTAGGGGCTTAGGGTTTAGGGCTTAGAAAAAATTGGCCCATAAGACAATCAACTTCAAGTAGATAGAATGTGGCCTTGGGTTAATCAGAATTTGATCCCCATATACCCCACATATTCTATCTACTTAAGGGGGGTACTATACCCCTAAACATGGTCAAAGAGGTCAATATTGTACATGCACGACATATTCGAATTAAGTTCAAGTTTTTCTTGGTCCTGGGCAGTGGGGGCTTAGGGTGTGGGAGTGTACTGTACAAGGCTTCAGAATTGCCAGCAATATTCCTCTGTAAGCAGTAGATATGGAGAATATGACTAACCTCCTAAACCCTAAACCCTTAAACCCTAAACCCTTAAACCCTAAACCCTAAACCCTTAAACCCTAAACCCTAAACCCTAAACCCTGACAACATTCAAAACAACTGGCCGACTTGAAGGCTTCAATAAACCCTGAACCCTATATTAACCCCATTATACTGGTTTCCATGTTCTTTTCCATTATTCTTACAATTCCCTCTATAACCCCTATATAATCCCTACATAACCCCTATATAATCCCTACATAACCCCTATAATCCCTACAGTATCTTTATTATCCCTAGATAACCCCAAGCAGCTGCGATCTACTGGAACTTGTGGGTGGTTGCTGTGAGGCTTATGGCCACAGGCTTACCCAAAGGGTCATTGGACCCTCCTACATCTGTAGTCTTTTTAGGAATGATTTTTGATTTTGATTATACCACAGCCCCAAAGAACTCTTCAGAATATTGTTTAGTATAGGTCTAAGGAGACTACAGACATAAGTACCTGCATGGCTGTTCTTTGGATGGCTCAAGAGCCTTGGGGTAAGGAGTGTTCCCTAAACCCTATACACCCCAAAATCTTGAACTCGCTCATGGAGTTGTGCGCTGAAAGCCTTTAACCCAACCCAAATACTTCAAGTCGTTCAACCAGATAAAAGTTTGAATTAACATCTTCAGCGTGTGTCCCCGCAAATGTTTGTACCGGAGCAGGTCTTCGCCCCAAACACCCCAAACCCTGAACCCCAAAACCCAAATACCCTAAACCCTAAACCCCTAAAGCCTAAACCCAAACAACCTAAACCTTAAGCCCTAAGTAGCCTCCGCGTTCAATCCACGACCCGGTTGTGCAATCCCAGGCTTTCTCAACCTTAAGGGTATACCATCTGAGGTCCCAAACCTTGCAAGGGCTTAGGGCTTAGGGTTTAGCAGGGGGGTCTCTGTTTTTGGAAGTCCCTAGAATAAAGATTTTAGTATATCAGTGTCTATCTCGGGGTCCCACAGGTATGGAAACTACCATCTTACCATCCAACTTACTGGTTCTTAGAAGGGAATAAGGGAAGATTATCGCCATATAGTACCTATACAATACCTATATAATGTATTCCCTTACTCCCTACTAACCCTAGATCCTAAACCCTATATACATACATATATATATATATAACACATTTACCCTTAGTCCCGACTAACCCGCAACTCCACAGGAACCTTTCGCAACAATCACGGGAGACTGCGCTTGTCGGCCATCAGGCCAATGGGAAGATGCAAGGCAGGCTCCCTCTCGGTGCCCAGGATGGACTCTTTAGGGTTTAGGATTTAGGGTTTAGGGTTTAAGGTTTAGGGTTCAGGGTTTAGGGTTTAGGGTTCAGCTTAGCTGCAGGGCTTCTAGGGATAATGGGGCCCATTGGGGTACTAGTAGGGTTATACTGGGGTTATATTGGGATTGGAAAGAAAATGGAAGTTACTATAGGAAAGAGGGTATATATTAGGGTTGAAGGTTCAGGGTTCTGGATTTAGGGGTTTAGTGTGCATGGTTCATGGGTTTGGGATTCAGGATTTAGGATTTAAGGGGTTTAGGGGCTTAGCACTTAAGCATACTTAAGCCCAAGGTTGATTCCCTTTGTGCTGAGTAGGGAATTGCGGGATGGAAAAGCAGACCCTAAACCGTAAACTCTAAATTGTATTCAGGGTTTAGAATTTAGGATTTGTAAGGGAAAGTGATCCATGCCCTCATCCGCTTCTATATAAGCACCAGGTAGAAGGGTTGCCATCTGCTTTCAGGTATTTAGAGCAGGCTTGCTCGGGATTTCGGACTCATTCCCTCAACATTGCAATGCTTTTATGGGCATGTCCTGGGTGTCTGGTCGGGATTTGGGCAGTATGGGTGTCGCAAGCTGAGACGGAAGTTGAAAGTTACAGGTAGGAAATCTGGGCTCTCCAAATGCTCCACCCCTCTACCCCTGGAGTCCCAAATCGTGCGTGCCCAGTTGTAGGAATGGTACGGCACGGTTTTGGGGGTTTGCATTCTTGCTTAATCACATCACCCAGGATTTGGTGGAGAAATTCCATTGAGCCTTCAACCCTTCATCATTCAACCCCCCCCCAGCCGGAAACTTACAAGTGATTTGGCCTTTGGCCTACAAAACGTAGCTCAGGTGCCATGCCCGAGGGATCCGCTAGCCACCCTAAAGGCGACGATGGTTGGAGCAACTTCGTTGCGGAGTTCAGGGGTTTGCAATATGGGGGGTGGGGGGAGGGGCTTTGCAGGTTATTGCGTTAACATTAAGAGGCTGGTGTATGGTTGTTGAGACTGAGCCGTGGGGCGACTTTGTCTCCAGATGAGAGGCGGGTTCTCGAGTTAAGGTTAACCCCAAACCCTAAACCTTTGCAGTTCAGGGTTCAGGGTATCGGCAGAGCAGGTGAGGTGTTTCTGAGTTTTAGTTTTCCCTTGAAGCCTTAAACCGCATAGCCCCAAAGCCAAAATCTTCAACCTTGATCTAGAAAACCCTAAAGCCCTAAACCCCTAAAACCCTAAAACCCCAAACCCTAAAACCCTAAAACCCTAGAAAATTTAGCCCAAGCCGAAAACAGGATTTCTGGAGCCTGAAGGCCTACTATGGTGCTTCTTAGAGGCGTGCATTATCCTAGGATCTGCTATGGAGCCTGCATAAATTCAGCATATGCATGAGCAGATACATACCATAGCTATATGAACGCCCTACTTAGAAGCCTATGTGCATAATTGTAGAATTTGCTATGGAGCCTGCGTAAATTCAGCACATGCATAAGCAAATACATACCATTACTATATGAAGAAAGCCCTACAAAACCTCGAAAATCATAGACCCAACTAGAGTATATAATATATACATAGTCCTTATGATAGGGATCACTGAAAGGTACCCACAGTTTTATGAAACCCTAAACCCTAAAACCTAAAGCCTATATATCCTTGTATAACCATATCCCCCTTTACAGGTAGTATACTCCTTTCCACACCCCCCCAGATCCCAAGCCCCGAATTGTAAACGGAAAGCTCGGAGCCTGGACTGAGGGGTGCGCGGAAGGCAGTCCGCACACCTTTACACGGAGTATAGGGTTTAGGGTTTAGGGGTTTAGGGTTTAGGGTATAGGTGTCCTATAGAGGTTCTAGGGGTAATATAGTGGTTATACAGGCAAGGCTTTACAGGGGTTATATAGGGGTCTTGTAAGGGTATACAGGATTTCGAGTTTTCGGGTCTTCCGAAACATGCAGGTCCCTGTTTTGGGGTGTCCCCATAATCAGGATTATACTATCTAGGGTTCTAGACTGGGGTCCCTGGTGAGGATGTCGGCCATCAATAACACTGCCCAGGTGAATTTTTCTGCAACTTGTGTGGCTCTGCCTGACGTGACGAATCGC